GCGTGCTAGAAGTGTAGGCCATGACTGAACAAGACGTGGACAAGCATGAAGTAGCTATACGCAACATGGATTATAATATATTTTTATTTATAATTATAATTTCATTCAGAAAAAAATTACAATTTACGTCGGCAGTAATGACACCATGTTACGTCAATCAGAGGTCACTAAAATTTATATTAAATTTGCCAACCCCCCCAAACTGGATCAGGGCCAGGGACATCTTTAGCTGCATGTTCTTAAATTTCCATCTGCAAAATCAGAAGCCCATGTAGTCCAAAAAACTACATGGGCTTCATAGATAATTGAAAACTTTCTAAAGGACCTCTGGTCTTGGTAGGAGAGAAGGCATCCAGGTGTCTTCATGATATAAAGACCTGGATGACCTCTAATTTTCTGCTTCTGAATTCAGATAAAGCAGAGGTTATTAACTGCACACGCTGTGAAACTGCTGCTACAGAAGCCACAAAATGTTGAAAAGACCCATTTTATTGATCACATCTTTGTCATATTTGCAACTCCAAAACACCACATTGCTGATTTTGCAGATGATTTGTACCTGCTGCTTAGAGCTGTCAAAATCTCACATTCAGACTTACATGTGACCAAAACAATTCACAACAGTTTTATTACTATCAGATTAAAGAATATATGCATTTATTAAATTCATATGTAATTAAAATAAAGTGTAGAAAGGAGGAGAGAACCTCTAACCACATAACTACACAAAAACTGTACAAAAGTACAATTGTAGTCATAATGTGTGTTACCATCAAGAGAAAGAGAGGCTGCATGCCATGAGTTACATGGATCTTTGTCATTCGCTGTGTGCGTCATGGAGACTGCACAGAGAAAGAGAAACTACACATATGTGGTTTCTATATCACATCACACTGACAGTTCACAGCAGACCAAAATGAGCCTCAGAGCACTTCAGAAATATCCTGGTGATCCTGATGGCAAGGCATTCAGTTTTTCATTCAGTTTTTTCCAATTAATCAGAAGTTAATTAATCATTAAACTCTACTGAGAGCCAATGTGTAGAATATAAAACAGTAGTTCTGTGAGTTTGCTTGCCAGAACATGTTAATAGTCTGGCCAGCATTTTGTACTGCTTGGAGGCATAAAAGAGATTTGTCCAAGCTGGCAAACAGGGCATTACAATAATCTAAACCCAATGACACCAATGCATGAATACGTTTTTGCAGTTCAGCTGAGGATATTTTGGAATTTAGAAATGTTCCTTAAATAAATTTAACAGGAATTAAACAAAGATTTTACATGTGAGTCGAAGCCCAGAGAAGAATAAAATATTACACCAAGATTTCAAATGGTGGATTTATCAGTTGAACATAAAGGAGGGCATGAATGATTTTAGGATGTAATTAAGGAGCTGTAATCATGGTCTCATTCTTGTTGGTTTTTAAAACAATTTCATTGCTACAAAGCTAAGCAGTAACCTGAGTTGGCAAATGGACGAGGGTAAAAAGATGAAAAAAAAAACCACTTGTAAGTACAGTTAGAGCAGGTCATCATGTTAACCCTTGCCCAAGATTGTGTTTATTTAATAAATGGTAATAGGGCTGAAAACCAAAAAGCCACATATAATATCAAAACTTAAAAAAAAGAAGGTTTTAAGCAGATGCTTTTATAACTATGCCCCAGTGTTGAACAGCGCAGTAAAGCTTCTGTGCTTTTAAAAACAGAACAATTCAGTGTTTGAATAAGGGAGTGGTAAAATGTTCCGGTTTCCAATGCTAGTTAAACAAGTTTCAAACAAAGAAGGTATTTTTAATTAAGTTCAGTTTGAATAATGGAAGAGTGATGCATTCATTCCCTCTTGACAGGTTACTGGCACATGTACATGTAATTCCATTAATGCATAGCTGCAGTTATTAAACGATGAATCAGTGTTTAGAGCTGTTCGCACTAAAGTAAAAAGCACCATCACTTCATGCGGAAACCCTCTTGGCACCAGCTGCGGTCGCACGGCCGGAGCCGAACAAAAACTCCCTGATAACGACTGTGTTTAGTCTGTTCCTTCCCATTCCATGCAAGGCCACCTGGACTGTTTACTTAGCCTAGCAGGGCGAAGGACACTGTCTCAGCTGAACTCTGGACATGCACACACATACATATACACTGATATGCACACACTCATCCCCCCTTCCTTTCCAAATGCCTCCGATGCTTGTTCCCTCCTGGGAACACGGCGGTCTACCTGGAATGGTAGCACTGGGAAGGATGGCTGCTGTGTTTGCTTCAGATTACTCCTCACCCCCCACCCGACCCTGAGGCTTATCACGTGTTCCATAATGTTGTGCTGTGGACATTTATGTGCTTTTTTGTGCAGAGGAGTTCTTTTGTCTCATGCTGTCCTCCCAGGAGCCCAGCATGAGTAGAGGTCTCTTTTTTTCCTCTTGTACTTTCCCATTGTAGTGAATATTTCAGTGTTTTTTTTCTGTAACACTACCGATCTCCGACCTGTATCCCCATGTGATGTCTGTGTTGTGTATGTAAGGTCGGGGGGGGGGGGGGGGGGGGGGGGGGGGGGGGGGTGTGTCCTATTTCACTGCAGGGCAACCTGCACGTGGCGAATAAAGCCTTGATTGATTGATTGATTAAATTCCAATGTCTTGTAATAACTGTAGAATATTTAATATGCATATACAAATACATAGAATTTGAAATAATTCAATCAAAATCAGCCACATATGGTCTGAATATGAGCCAGAAGCTACATTTTAATAGGGACATGCTGTCTCATGCACAATGAACACAAGCACAAGTTAAACACAAAGATACAAATGTTGTTTATTCATTTCACACCATTTCTGTTAACATATGGCTATTTTAGACAAACATTTTAAAAATATCTGAAATTTTTTTAAAAAATAAAAAAAATAAAAAATTACATGTTTTACCAGCCACCTATTGTGAATCCTGATTCTTCAAAAACAAAAACCATTTTCATGTTTTCTCCAATAAATTGTCAGAAAACTCATAAAACATCCAGTGGAATATGGTTTTCCTCGGTACTCTGTGTCACAGATATGACAGTTATATGGTTTTGTGACTGAAAATCTTATATATATTGCATGATTTTGATGCTCAAACGTAGTTATAGAAGAAATAGTATGATTAGATCACCATGTAGCATTAGAACTCCTGCTCACAGCTTCAAGAATATGAAACATAACACAGTCAAAATGACAAGACACTCTGGGCCACAGTTGGAAGGTGACAGTTGAATGTTAATACCACATTTTTCTGGTGGAGTAACTTGTTTCTGGGTAAGGTCAAACTATTTGGCAACTGTACAAATACAAAATGAAACAGTCACAATGCTGAGTTTCAGGTGTGGTCAAATAACAATAGTCACAAGTTAGTTATTGGTGGCTGTAGCTCAGAAGGTAGATCTGCTAATCCTCCACTAATCTGAAAGTTGTTGCTTCGATGTTTGGCTGCGGCAGTCTGCATATTGAAGTATCGTCAGGAGAGATACTGAACCCCGTTGTAAATGTTACATAGAAAAGCACACTGGCTTTGAAAGAAAGTAACTGGGAATGAGGAAAACTGTATAACATGTTCTTAGTATAAGAAATGTTTCCTGTACCAATCTATTTACCACTGCAACGGTTTACACGGTCACTTAATAGTGAGGTGATTGGGTTCTCCTCAAGTTTAAAATGGTCAGCTCATGCATTCACACTATTGGAGCCAATAGAAGAAAAGTCTTATATGCACTGCAGGTCTCAATTTAAACGACAAAACAGTCTGTCTGTCTAACAGAATGGAATGGAAAGAAATTTAATGTATTATCTTATATTACTTATTTTTTTTTACTTTGTAGTAAATACTCAATAGCAAAATGTACTTAATATGCTATATTTTGATGGATTTTATGCACCCATCAACAACAGCTGTGTTTTAGTGAGTAATAGTAAAAAGCAATTTAATACATGTGAAATAAAATTTTGTCATTGTCATAAGCAAACAATCCCAAGACAAACATATTACTTGGTGTTGTACTTAGAGCTGTTTGGCAAAGAGGTTTATGGGTAAACTTTACATGCAGACTTGTGTATTTACAAATACACGGACAATACCTTTTGATAACAGGATGGGTGTTTGGTTGGAATTGTTATCAATGAATCATACAAAATACACGTGAAAAAAAACACTGAGTCACATAATTAAAAAGTTGTTTTATTGATGCACAGAACATGTAAATGATTATGTAAAGGTCCTCTGAAGCTGCTGGTACCTCTGCATATAAAAGCTTTAAAACTTCACAAACCGGAGAAGAGCAAACAATTTCATAATCAAGTTGCAATTGCCAGGAACACATGTTTATATTTTATTATACATGTTTTAATATATGACCACTACATTGTATTTACTCAACACATTCAGGAACTTGCAAAACAGAATAAAACCTTTATTCTTTCCATAAAGATTCCAAATGGGCCAAATTATTAAACTATTTTAATACAATGGTTTACCCACACAGTTTAATGACAATATTTTTATGTAAGCTTTATATGTATAATGATTAGGCTGTTTTATTATATGGCTGTGGATCTGTGTTTATTCAAATGGATTCCATGGATTGTATATTATCTCATACAAAGCATGAAGTCTATTCCAAATGGCCTCAAACACCCCCACAACTTCCTTTTCAAAAGGTTCTGGGACTGGAATGGAGACTGATTCAGAAGGAACAGGAACAGATGGAACAGATGGAACAGGGACAGATGGACCAGATGGAAGAGGAACAGATGGACCAGATGGAACAGGGACAGATGGAACAGATGGAACAGATGGAACAGGGACAGATGGACCAGATGGAACAGGAACAGATGGAACAGGGACAGATGGACCAGATGGAAGAGGAACAGATGGACCAGATGGAACAGGGACAGATGGACCAGAGACAGATGGACCAGATGGAACAGATGGAACAGGTGGAACAGATCCCTTTCCAAACTTCGATTTGATCAACAAAGCTGAGACAATTGCAAATAATCCTGTGATGATTGCAAAACCCACAAAATATTTAAGCCATGATTTTTGTGCATTTTCCATGTGTCTCTTAATGATGTTAACTTTAGCCTGCTTTCTAATCTCTTCCTGCGACAGATTTTCTGCTGACTTTCTAACCCGATTTTCCTCTTTTTGTATTTCTGTCTCCAGTGTTTGGAGCATTTCATTAGTGTAGTATCCTCCATTGTTTTCTGTCACTATATCTTCTATGCTATTGAGCAGCTCTGCCACCTGGAACTTGTTGCTTCTATATTCATCTTCCTGGTTGTTCTTCCAGTATTTATTGTCAATGACGTGGCACCGACTCCCACACTTCCTCACCAGATCACTCAGAGCTTCACTTTCATTAACAAAATCCTTGATCTTCATTCCTTCAGGGAGCTGGTCACCATGAGTAAAAACCACTGCAGCGTATTTAAGAACATCTTCAGAGAAATATTCACATAATTGTGCGATGACAGCCTTTTCGTGCTCTGTGAATTTCTCTGCTTTGAGCACAATGAGAAAAGCATGAGGACCCGGAGCACACTCTGTAATACAGCTCAACATCTCATGCTCCAACTTCTCAGACCTGCTTGGGTCAAAGAAACCAGGAGTGTCGATTAAAGTTAGGCTTCTTCCATCAACAGTCTTGGTCTCACTCTGAGACAAACATGCGTTTGAGTCATTAAAATGATTAATCTTCAATCTGGTCTCGCCAAATATGGTATTAGCCAGACTGCTTTTCCCAGTTCCAGTTTTTCCCAGCAGGACAATTCTCCTTGTCTTTGTCACTGGAAGAAAAAATGAATAGATGAACAAATCAGATTAACTCATCTGCTTCCTGACATCTCTGATCAATTTTCAAATTTCAGATCAAAAATCTATCAACCCAGTATCACAGCAAAACGTGTAATAGACACGCCGGACCACCGTGTCTATTTCACACCATGCCTTTCCAAAACGTGAAATGGAGATGTATGAAGAATTTTTCGCGACCAGCAGGGAGCGTTGATATATTAAGCTAAGTCAGTAATGAACAAAAAACCATTATTGCATAAGTACATTCAATTGTCCTTAACAGTCACAAACTATTAAGCTTAATCTGTATATACATGTAAATATGTTAATTATTTTTGTTTAAATATTTCCCACAATTATTTTCGTGTTGGCTTGAAATAAAAAAGCTCCCTCTGGTGTTACTGCAACTTCTGCATGCTTGTCTTTGTCACGCTTTGGAGAGTCAAAGTGTTAAACAGACATGGGGGATATAGGTGTCTGTATGTACCCTATCTCCTTAAAGGATAGGGTACATACAAAAATTACATGCAAAATTTTGCATGAACAATGTCACATATATGTTTTAACAAAACAAATTCGTTATAAATCCCAACTCTTTCTGAACTCGCTTTACCAACAAACATTTTTATCAGTTAATAAATTAAAAGGGGTGATTTGTATTGTTTGTTTGTTTGCTTTAAATTACACACAAAGAAATGTGATTCAAACCTAGTATCATTCTGGTTGATTTGAAGGAAAATATCACTGACATCTACAGCATAAGAGTGTCTGAAATCTTTTAGCTAATCATTCATCAGTGTCATTTATTGGTCCTTGTGATTACGCTGCATATAGAGACTTCAACCAAACAGATGCAAGTACAAAGTAAATTTAAAGCATGTTTGAGAGTTTAAAAGAAATCTTACTGCAGTACTACACTGCAAGCCATGTGTCAGCAAACAAGCCTTGATACCCAGAAATCTTGCTTGTATTTATAAGATTGATAAAGCTTAGAGCAGCAATACTGTTAAACATTTTTTCATAGCAAAATAGTTCTTGAGATTAACTCAGTTAATTAAAAATATAGGTCATAGTTTAGGATTTTGATTACTAGAGTGACAAACACTCATACGTTGGAGTAATGTCTATTTAATAGTTACTTACCCTCCATGCTCTCCAGAAAATAGAAATCTGTCAAAAATATAGTCTGGTTCCCGACGTGTCTCTGCAGTGAGTCGTTTGCTTTTGTTCTCGTACTGCGGACTTACCTTATGCTTCGCTTCTGCTACCTGTCTAACTTGTTCTCTGGGTTTTAGCCAGAATAAGTGAACAAAACACTGCGCACAGTGTACGTTTACATATAATAATCCACAGTGCTGCAACACAGAGATAAAGATAATAAATAACTACATGACCCAAAAACATGATACAAGAAGAAAGAAAAAGTTAAGCTGTATTTCATTGACCTTACAGATTTTTAAAAAAATATTTTTATTTCTATTCTTCAGAAAAGTGGAATTTATTTCTGCTTGAATATATGAATACTTCTTATATTGGCCTTTAAATCCTTACCTTACACTACTAACTCCATAGATTCTTTGTTCTGTGAACTACATATAATTTATTCAAAGTTTGGATTTATGTCAACAAAATACAAACGTCTGCATTTTCTTTTGATTTATTTAGTCTCATTTGTTGCTGCATTTGTCAGTCAGTAACTTTTATACAGTCTGGAAACATGAGCAACACTTAAAAACATTAAAACTGACATTACAATAAAGTTTGTCGAAGATCAAATCTGTTAGTGGTCTGTCCACTCATCCCAGCAGTTTCCATTACTGTTCTGGTTTAAAAATGGCTGTGGTAGATTTGGCTGATCCTGTTAAACTTCATCAGCTGGTTCAACTCAAGTAAAGTCAGCGGAAGCCAAATTAAGTAAAAATGAAAGTCGCTGTTTAAGATGTCACTGCCTCTTAAACATGTTTGGCTAAACCTGCTGAGGAGGTTTAACAAGTTCAGCTGAATTAACATGAGGCTAGTAAATGAAAATTGTCAAGAAGTTGAAGAAACTTGGTTACATGTGAAACAATTAGCTGCTTTATTAGTGAAAACTTGTAGCAAAGAAAACATCAAAAAAAGAAGCAACAATTATTTGAAAGTTATAGATCTGTTATTGAAATACCCAGAGATTTTGTTTAAGCTGGAGTAATGGACATATTCATGGGTAAATTCTGAAATATAAACTGCAACATAAAGGGTTTTATAGCATATGACGAGGGGGGAAAATCACATTCTTACATATCATTAAGCATAAGCTACTTCATTCATATGTTAACAGTAAGTATTCAACAAAAACTTTTAAGTAAGATATTTTGTATAATGCAAATACAGAAATCCAATCATGATGAACAAAAGGAGTCCAAAATGTCTCATTCTATAATTTTAACAATGATTCTATGATGGCAACTTATAAAGGTGAATGTGAGTAGTTGTGCCCAGTTTCCTAGCAGTATATGCTGATTCTGTACATCTGTGGATTGTAAAGGTACTTTTTTGAAAGCTTAAAAGATGTTTTAGATATTTAATTTATAACCTGTTTTTACATTTAAAAAAATAAAAACAAAGTGTGCTTTTGCGTTGCAGTCTCCTTTCTTTGCTTCATCACTGTGCACCAGTTTCATGTCCGTGAAACGTGGTACTCCTGGTTTTATTTGGCTGCTGGCTCTGCAGATACAGCAGGAACTGTGCTAGATTATGTTGGTGCATTGTTTTTAGCTACTTTCGCTGCAGCTGCTATTCCCAATGCTACTCCTACTCCTACTCCTACTAAACCTACAGTGCTGTCTTCTTTCCCTAATTGTATCGTCCCACCCAGGAATGCACCTAACAGATCCCCAGTTGTAACTCCTGCAGCTTTTGACAACAGATTTTTAAACACAGATTGTTTCGCCTTTGCTGCAGTTTCCTCTTCTTTAATATCTGGAGTTGACTGTTTGATGCGACCTTCCTCTTTTTGAATATCTCTCTTCACTTGTTGCAGCATCTCATTGGTGAAGTAGCCTCCTCTGTTTGCATCAATAATCTTGTCAATGGTTTTGAGTAATTCTGCCACCTGATACTGGTTGTTCCTGTATTCATCTCCCTGGTTGTTCTTCCAGTATTTGTTATCAATGACGTGACAGCAGCCACCACACTTCTTGATCAGATCGCTCAGAGCTTCACTTTCATTAACAAACTCTTCGATCTTCATTTCCTCAGGAAGCTGGTCACCATGAGTAAAGATTATTGTAGTAAATCTAAGTGCTTCCTCTGAGAAATATTGGTTCATTTTGTCTATCACACCCTTTTGATGCTCTGTGTATTTCTCCACTTTAAGCACAATAAGAAAAACATGAGGACCAGGAGCACATTCTGTGATACACCTCAATATTTCAAACTTCATCTCCTCCTCAGACCTGTCTGTGTCAAAAAATCCAGGAGTGTTAATAAATGATATGGTTCTTCCACTGATATTCATATACTCTGACTGACATTCACTTGTTCCAGAAATCGCAGAATGATTTACTTTAAACACAGGCTGTCCACACAGGGTGTTGGCAATACTGCTCTTTCCAGCTCCAGTTTTTCCCAGGACCACAATCCTTCTTGTTGACTCTATAAAACAGTAATGATTCAGTGTTAGTTATTTATCTATTACTTTGTCAAAAACAGTGCAAGAAATAAACAGTAAATTGAAGTGGAGGTAAAACTGCATGATGTGTACAAGCCAGTCATTACTGGCTTACAAGTAAATATGGAAGAGTAGAAAAATGTAATTTCTCTGATTGTTGATCAAAGTTTAGACTTAGCTGTTCAGATGGTGGATACAACTAAATCATTTTGAATTATTAACTCTATCAAGCATACACTCAGTGTATTACAGTCTTGAATATATTATATAACATTTACATAACTACTTTAGGTATTCAGTGGAGTAGATCATGTTGACTGAAAAACAATCACTTTCAGAGAACTTTCTTCCTTTGTGATCCCACATTTCTGTTAATCATTAATGCAGAAAACATGACAATAACTGCGACTTACCGTCCATGTTTTTGAAAGCGAAATCAGCGCAGAAACACACGATTACTCAGATCCTGTGGACGTTTTGACTGCGCCGTTCGGTTGTTTCTGTACCTGTTGGACTTGTTTCTCAGCAGCAAACTAAAGTGATGAGCTTACCTCATAGTGTGTTTCTCTTTTTTTCCCACACCTGGCAACAGCATGAGAAAACTATTGTGCATATTTAAATGTTATTTATTTAAATAAATTAATAACAAAAACACAATTTTTCTTTTCATTTTTATATAAAAATCTTGGCGAGCATATTGTTATAACCCAAAGTTAAATATGTCTGTAGTAAATATGACAAAAGCAAAAGAGAGGTACTTTACTGTTCTAGAATACTATAATGAAAAGTTTTAGTATATATACATAAAAGGTGTGCGTTACGTATTTGAAATCTTCAAGCAGCTGTTTCCTTTAGGGTTCGCCTCAGTTGATCATCTGCTTCCATCTCACCCTAACCCTAGCTTCATCCTCTGTTACACCAACACGCTCACTCTTTGAGCAAGTGTTTGGGCATCAGTGAGAAGAAAAAAACTCCCTTTTAACAGGGAGAAAAAGGAAATGAGGGCACAGGCATAACTATATAACTTTATTATTATTATAACATTATTCCAATATATCAAAAATACAAAATAAACTCAAAATTCTGCGACACAGATGCAGCCATCCGACAATTGTAGTGTATCTACGGGAGGATTCAGGTCACCTGATCATGCCCTAACTATATGCTTTGGCAAAAATGAATGTTTTAAGTATTGTATGAGCATCCTGAGAGCGAAGTGCTCTAATGAGGTGATTTGGTACTATATGGTCTTTAAGATAAGATGGGACCTGATTATTTAGGATTATTTAGCCAAGCCTTTCCAATTTTGTCTCCATCTTTGTCAAACTTGGTCACTGCTAATGAAAACGTTATCATCTGCAACTCTACCAGGGCTACGTCATCATTACATCTGTCTCCCTCTCATTCCCACAGGTATTCTATAATTCTACTGTACATAGTTGCTCCCTACACTCACTACAGTTCACACTGAAATGTAATGAAATGTGAACACTATAAATAGATTCAGTTACCGCTGCGATAATGAATAATTATACCTAACTTAATGAATGTCTTTTTAGTTAAATAGCTGACTTGTTTTTACCCATGAGAGTTTGGTGAACTGTCCCTGTGCCCTATGACAGCTGGGCAGGCTCCAGCCTCACTATAACCCTGATTTGGATAAGCAGAATAAACTGGATGGATGAATCCTTTTCTTTTTTTTCTTTCATTCTCTTTTCAGCTGCTTTTGCATATTTTTCTGACTTTGATCAATATTTACATTCATTTTCATATTCAAAACCAAGGCAGCTACAAGAGAGCCTTTGTTGAGCTGGGTAATTCATTTTCACTTGCAACAGAAAAATCACACAGAAGAGGGACTATTTGGGAAATGTAAGTCAAGTTTAACATGATTTGTATTTGACCTGAAATACAATCTAAAATCCAATTATGATGACACTTTGTCATTTTGTCAGATTTAGCAAATAAGATGATTTGCCATCATAATTAGAGTCATAATGTAATATCTAAAAATCCAGAAATGTTTGGCTAAAATGAAGGGAGTCTTTCAGATATTCAAGTAAAAATTCTACAGTACTACACTGATACACACATATACACATATATTACTTCAGGAATTTTTTGTTGACTTCACATTAGAAATGTTTTAGCTAGCAGAACAAAGATGCAGGAGAATCTGTTTCTGCTCATTCTGATGGGTAAGTGGATGATCTTATCAATCATACAGCAGTACTGTTAGCTTAAAGCAATAAGAGTGATTCTGGACTGATGCACCTGTTAAATGGCAGTAATGGTGAAATAATTGTCTTCGGAGCCTTATATAAACGAGAGGAACAGTGTAAGTGATTTTCTTTTTGCATTTTTATATTATAGAGCAAGGCCAAAGTTTACTTACTTTTACCTTACTTTTTAGACAAAAATGTCAGCAGTTTTTAGGTGTGTCTGCATGTTTGTGCTAAATGATAACAAAAAGGTTAGTGTAATTAAACAGGTGCTTTTGTGACAGTGATGTTGGGGGAGCTGGAGGCTGGCCCCGTTTGAAGTCTTTAACTCATTTTATTGATTTTATCTAAAAAAAAAAAGAAAAATAATC